GTAACGGAATACAGTTACTCATATTTTGTATTTTAAATACGTAACGGCGGTACATGTATTCCGTTACTCCCCAACACTGATTATTGTTATAGTTTCCAAAGATTTCAATATCTATTCAGCTTCTCAGAGACCGTTGGTTTTTCAATACACAAAATAAGCAAATATTTTCCTTCCAACAAAAATTTGCAAATGTTTATAAATATATATTTTCTATTCATCTCTAAGCTCATAGCTTGTAAACGTAAAGCACCAATAAATAAACATGCAAGAGTTTATTCTGAAAACTCAAACCGGAAGTTCAGTTGATGTTTAACCTGCGGCTAAGCTAACTCCACCTGGCTGCTTGCTCCAGCTGTTTTTGTGGTCCAATACAGCATGTGTCACCGGTAATAAGTCTCTGTAAGAAGACGGTGGACGAAGAGCGAAGTTTGAAGAATTTTTATTGCTTCCTGGACAAAATGCAGCAGTTTGTTCTTCGGCTGTCTTGCGGGACCCATAGATGCTGCTTCTGACGGAATAACAGAAGAGCCAGCCGCCTTCTGACCCGCCTCAGGTCCGCCTGGAAGCGCTGCTGTCAGTGGCTCTGTGGCAGTGACACGGTTTCTCGTCTGGGCTTTTCAGCTGTATGTATCTCATCTCGCTAAAGGCCCGAGAGCCGCGGCTCTAGCTTGTCTCCTCTTCCTGTGTTTAGGAAGGGCCGTGAACCCTCAGCTGAGTGTGGTTCATAATATCTGTGATCTAAAGCATCAGAGCTCATATTTCAGATGAGACTCAGACTCCAGCATGCTCGTTCAACTCTCACACCAAACACTTGTTGATCTCATGAACTGTTACAGGTCCTGTACCAACATGAACGAATTCTTTTTATTACTGCGCAATAAATCAAACATCAGAGTCAAAGCTGAAGGGAATATCCTCAGATCTCTTGTTTTGTTTGACTCCAATAACTCCAAAGAGAACATTTCTTCCAGTTTTTCTTGAAAATAACTGAATCAGTTAAACAATGTGATGCATTATTTGAGTAACTTATTAATTAGTTAATAGTTGTGAGAGAGTTACAGTAAAACCTGTGTGCGTGTGCTTTAGATGATGCCTTCCTGGGGGGATGTAATGGACAAATCGAGCCGAGTGTGTCGACCCCAGCGGATTAGCGAATCGTCTAAGGTCAGTGTTATTATTGTTAAAAATTATCGCATGGTCTGTAAAGTAGCTTCAGGTTAATCGACTAATAGTTGTAGACAGTTGTCTATCCAAAGTGCAGAGGATCTGGGTACTGTTTTCATCTAGGGCTGCCACAAACGATTATTTTGATAGTCGACTAGTCACC